TGGTGAGCCCTGATTCTCACCTGCGGGGCGGAGCAGCAGGCCAGAGAGTCTCCCTTCCACCTAAGAGACTTTTCTCTGTAACTGAACCTCAACTTACTTCTGATTTTTCAAACTCTTATTTTAAACAGTTTCCAGAGCAGACTTTCCAAACTCTCTCACACATTTCCTTGTCTTCATAAGTAAGGAGATACTGAGCATCAGTTTACCTTTTCTTCCCTGGAGTGAATTTAGAATTATAAACAGCAACGGACTGCCTTTTCTGACAATCTCGTGAGGCCTCCTGGGGCTTCTGAGATGTGGATGCATCCTATATCCCAGTGTTTCTCAAACTTTTGACATGTGTGTGTACCTCTTCTATAATTTTCGTAACGCTGAGTACCCCCCGTACTCATGAGAACGTAGAATTAGGCGCAGCTAAGCACGGTGCAGTGCATATCTCCACCAAACTCCGGTGCAACGCGTACCCCCACCAAACTCTTCCCGTACCCCCGGGGGTGCGCGTACCACACTTTGGGAAACACTGCTGAGTATAGCCTATAGGATTGACTGCCTCAGGATTCAAGCAGCCGGGTCTCTCCTGAGGAATATCAGCTTCCTCCTTAATTCCTACTTTAACTCAGGGCCCTGACCAGGTTAGGGCAATAGGGCTGAGCCCTCACACGGGCACAGCAGGAGGTCCCAGGGGTGGAGACCTTGATGCCCGTGGGGTGTGGAGGGCTGGAGAGGAGGTGGGAGAATAGAGAGCGATGGAGTTAAAAAATGGGAAAGAAAAAAAAAATCCTTCGGCAAGTATATGGAGTTAGTAGAGGTCGTTAGGGTTTAATTTGAAAGAGCATTAGATAAGCAATTTTAAAGGTGGGGTGTGGAAAGTAAAATGAAATAGAATAAAAGCAAGTTGAGAAAAAGTGATGGGATTAACAACCATTTCAATATTTGCTGAAAACCAGTGTGCGGAGGGTTTTGCTGACAGGAGAAGTACTGTGCAGGCAGCCAGGGAAGCATTTTGTGGGAAAGCCCCCTCTTATCAGCCAAAAGGCTGTCTCGGCCTTCCTGCTGGGGCCTGGTGCTGCTTCTCCGGTTGGAGTGCACAAAGGGTCCCTAGCGGGCCTTGCCTGTCTTCGTATTTTCTTTGCAAGGCCAGGCCGTCCCCAGCGACTGTCGACCCGGTGGAATTTCAACAGCTAAGTCATCTCTATGTGTCAGTTTCATTATTTTCACATGAGCGCATCTTCTGCTTTTGTCTGAAGCCTGGTGGAATCTTTGCGTTGGGGCAGACAGAAACAGACTACCTTGAAAAGCCGAGGCGTAGAGCTCGGGACAGCAAGGCAGGCGGTCACCGCCGCTTGCCTTTGGCAGAGCTTCGGAGGCAGGGCGGGTAGTGGGCAAGGCCTATGGTGGACGAGAGGAGGCGTCAGGGGCGCGGGGATGGAGACCGTGGGCCCGGGGAAGCCGGCCAGCCTGACGCAGGGCCTCCTGGGGGAGCCATCAGTGAGCATGTCTGCCTTCCTCTGATTGGCCCTGATTTTAGGTTCCATCCGTGTTTCATTATCAACTCTAAACTGTATTCAGCAAGTCCTTACCAAATGTCTGTGCTGTGCCAACTATTGTATTAGGCTGTGGGGTTACAACAGTGAATGAAAATAGGTCTAGCCCCTCCTCAGTGGAAACCACGGTCAGGTGCAGAGGTCGGCAAACTTTAAAGGGCCAGACAATGTTTTTGGCTTTGCCAGCCAGGAAAGGTCTCCTACTCAACTACTCAACTCTGCCATGGTGGCAGAATTGCTCTTCAGGTGTAGCTGGTCCATCCCTGGTATGGCGGGAGAATCAGGTCCTCTGCAAATGTACGTAAAATGTCAGTGTCCTAAGTGTCCTGAAGGGGGGGGGGGGAGGGGCATAAGAATTTCAGAACCTAAGAGGGAGACTGGTTAGGGGTCGGGAGACGTCTCTGAAGAACTGGAAGTGGAGCCGAGATCTGAAGGAAGATCGCCACCCCCTTAGCTCCGATGAGTTTTGCTCCTGGAGCAGTGGCACCATGTGGGCTCACATCGCAGCTTTGCTTCTTACGTGCTGATTAGCCTCCCTGGTTGTAAAATAGAAGCGATAGCAGCAGTAAGAAAGCATTAGACTAGGGGTGTCGAACTCAATCAGAGAAGGGGCCAAAATCTAAAATCCAGCCTAAATCGCGGGCCGAATGGTTTACTGAACAGTCATAAACTGTCATTGTGATGGAAACGCAGCGGAGTGCAGTGATGACAGCGCGGTGCGGGCCACATTGCAAGGCCTGGCGGGACGGATTTGGCCCGCGGGCCTTGTGTTTGACACATGTGCATTAGACCTTTACTAAGTGCTTATCAGATTCCTGAAGCCTGCCACCCGCCTGGGGTGCTAACGGCCAGCTTTGGTCCCGTGGATTACCTGGCCATCTCTGAGCCACCTGTAACCTCCCAGCTTTTAAATGTTCTTGTAGAATAGCTTCTCCCCCAGGCAGACTTCTAGAGAAGCCCCTGATCTCTTTCAGCTCATCAGCCCTCCCCTGCCCTCTTCTGGGCGCATCGTGTCACTGCAGTCCTGCAGGTCCTGGCCCTCTCCAGGAACACTGCACTGGCTTCATTAGCACCATGGGCACCTTTGAGTCTGGCAACAGAGTTGAAGGACACCCAGTGTGAATGTCAGAGTGCACTTTCTGTGAGAATGAGACAAGAGACGGTTAGAACCCAGTGGGCTCCTTCTAATGAGTGGGGGGGGGGGGGGGGCGGTAAAGAGGGGTGTCGGAGTCTTTTTGGGTGTTGGAATACACAAGGATGTCTTCCCAAAGGAGCAGCCCCGTCACCTGGCCAAGAACTGCAACAGCATGGCTGAGGGCAGATCTGCTGGGGTTCCAGCTGGCAAGAGGGAAGGGGGGAGATGGGGAGGCGGTGTGGCTTGTCAGAAAATACCAGGCTTCATCCTGAAATCTAAGATAGTTGCTTTTTGCCTTGGTATTCTTTCTTATAAATAAGTAAATAAGCTAATTTGTAGTGTATACCTAAACCAAATAGCAACTGAGTATGGACTTTTTTAAAGCATTAAAAAGAATGTTTTAAAATTCCAAAAATCCTTGAGTCCTAGCTCATAAAGAGGGAATATGCAAATTGACCACCACACCATCACAAAGGTGGCAGTGCCCACAGTGGAGGGGGGAGGTGGTTTCCGTAACACAAAATGGCTGCACCCACAGCAGAGGCCAAGTTCCTGTAACAAACCTTAAGGAGCAATCAGCAGGGACCTGAGGCTGCATGGTGCTGGGCCAGGGAAGGGGACCTGAGCCTGCACCCCCCACCTGACAGGGCTTGATGGGGGGCTTCAGGTCACACCCCCTGCCCAGCAGAGCTTGACAGAGGCCCTAAGGCTGTACCCCCCCCACCCCCGCTATGGTGCCAGACCAGGGGGCCTGAGGCCACAACCCCTGCTCTGTGGGGCATGACTGGGGACCTCAAGGTATGCCCCTGCCCTGGTGTTGGGCGGGGGGACCTCAGGCTGCTCCCCCCCCGCCCCATGCTGGGGGACCTCAGGATGCGCCCCCACCCTGGTGCCCGGGGACCTGAGGCTGTGACCCCTGCCCAGCAGGGTTTGACAGGGGATCTGAGGCTATGCCCCCCACCAGGCAGAGCTTGATGGGGGACCTGAGGCTGCACCCCCCGCCTGGTGGGGCTTGACGGGTTGGGGCCAGCCAGGTCTGGGTCTTGCCCAATGTGGGTGGGGCTGGCTGAGTCTGGGTCTGGTGTGGTTTTGAGGCACCACAAGTGGGCAGGGTCTTGACTCTGGGTCCCACGGTGCGCCCCAGACTCTGACAGGAGGAGGATTTTCATACACATCTAATTTTCTTTCATCTCTGACACTTCTATTATAAAGGGCAAATAACAATATTAAAATATTTCCTCTAATGAATCCCCTTTTAATGTGCACAAATTTCATGCACTCTAGGCCATTAAGCTATCAATATACTATAATTTTGAATGCAGATAATCTGTATACTAACCAAATATTTTAACTTGAAGTCTGCTCTCTAGACTTTTTAGGTCAAGATATTTTAAAAGAAAGATCAAATATATATTTTTTTGTTATTGTGATGGACAAGAACTTGATACAATTATCTGTATTTTGATCATTTAATGGAAAAGAACAGAGTTATGATCAAGCAGAATCAAAATTTCAGTGAGAAATATTTTTTAAAAATCATTTCCCAAAAATTGTGAAAAGGTCTCTTGGAAAAATTAAAATCTGAACTAGGAAGAGTTTAGACAATGGTTCTCAAACATTAGAATCACCTGGAGGTTTTAAAATCTTTGGCCCGAACCCCAGACCAATTGACCCTGAGTCTATGGGGGTGGGACCCAGGCATGTTTTTAACAAGTCTCTCTAGCTGGTTCCAATGTGCAGTCAAGTCTTGCAAACCAGCGGCTTTAGACAAATACGTAACAAGGTAACTTAAATGGATACACTGACCAAAATCAGAAAATATTTGACTTTAAGTAACCTATCCAGCACTGGTTAGCACAATTATCACTAGAGCAGTGAATTGTAGTACAAGGACCTATGTCAAGACTAAGTTGAGCTAGACACAGGTAATTTTTGTATATTAATAACCATGTTTTAACAAGCTAGTTTAATAACATTAGCAGCCACAGTTGCTATGAATTATTCCTCTTGTTCTTCACAGTGCAAATTAAAAATGCAGATATCTAGTAAGTATTCCTGAAAGTCTTTGCCTTTGAGTTGTAATCATAATTACTTGCATGATTTCTCCTTTTGCATACACACTTTTCTGCTAGAATACAACATCAGAGAAGATGCCTAAGCTGGCTCCAAATGTGGTAGAAAAAGAACAGTCCTGGTGATCGGATACATGACCCTCCCCCCCAGTGCTCCCCCTTTCCAATTGTGTAGTTGTCCAATGGAGGGATTCTCTGGGCAACTTAGAATTTTAATGGACACTAATAACCACCCAAACCTGTCTGAAATACACATAGAACTTTTACAATTTTATTTTTATTCTTACAGAAGCTAAGACCAAACAGAAACGTTTCAAAAAAGTCGCCAAAAAAGTTCGTCACAAGTTGGCTGCATTTAATATCAAAAACATAGTAACAAAGAAAAATTAACAAAAGAATTCCAAGGATACAACTGCTGTGGATTCAAAAGGCATAAACTACAGACAAAGTGAGTGCACATTCTCCCACAATTTGCAACTGTCAATGAAAGTATTAAAGTTTGAGATTTAACAAACTTGTGTAACCCCCACCAATAGCAGAATCAGTAAATAAATATAGTTTCCATGGTTACAACCATAAGTCTGTTCAGAGTATAAAAATAGACAAGCAGCATCCCCATCAACAACCACAGTAAAACTGTTCCTATGCTGTGTAGATTCTCCATTTTGTTAAATCTAAGAAGCCATCAATTGTGTGATGCAGCTTAATTCAGAGATGTCCCAAGGTGCAGAAAAATGTGTCTCAGGATCAAAAAAAATGTGGCATGTGTATGCATCCTTTAAAAATAACATATAAGCCCTGGCTGGCTGGCGCAGTTGGTTGGAGCATCATCCCAGACAGCAAAAGGGAGCAGGTTTGATACGTCAGGGCACGTACCTAGGTGCCAGTTCAGTCTCTGCATAACCAACTGATGTCTCTCTCTCTTCAATCCAATTTTTTAAATAAGATGTAAGAGGAAGGAAATATGTGAGAACATGTATTTGTTCACGTGGGAAAAAAGACATTAATCTCACTACCTAATATCTTTAATTTCCACAATTACAAATGTCAGAACATTTGAGACTTTTTGTCAAGTTTATCTTCAGTTGAGACTTTTTGCCAAGTTTTTCATTATTGTTTTTCTTTATAGGAACAGGAATAATATGAAGATATTTTCAACCAAACTACCTATAAATAGGAAACTATTATATAAATTATGCTCTATTTTTGAAGAAAATACTGTATTGGTGAAAATATATAGATAATAAAAGACAACATACTTTGTATTTCCATGCTTACTATCAGACCCCACAGGTATGTGTCTTTTTGATTCATTACACTTGAAAGCCAGGTTGAAACACATCAGGCAAGCACAATTGTGCCAAAGCTAAGAATCCCATATTATACTTATTATTTAATAAAAACAAAAACAACATATTGCGAGGTCCACAGAAACATGTTTTTGCTCTAAACAATAACTAAATAGGTGCGAGAGACAGGCCTCCTGGGCCATGTAATAGTGTGCTGTAGCGGGATAGTGTGTTATAATACATAACAGAGAATTGTAGTGTGTGTTTCTAAGTCTAACCATAAAGTCTTAAGGTCAAAAACAAAATCAACCAACCCAAAACATTACGATATACTGACAATCTCATTCCCACCTATGACAGAAGAGAACTAACACATTTTTTATTTCTTTACTTTTTTATTAAGAATACTTCTTAGGGGTTTTGGCATGTTATGTTCAGTGTCCATTGGCTCCTTCTGAGAGTATCCGTGAAGGTTCGGTAAACTTGGCTGTGAACAAGTAAAACAGGGCTGGCGTGGGTACCAGAGCCAACAGGGGTAAGTCCTGCTCAAGTTTGTCCACTCTGGAGATGGAGATGATCCCGTAAGCATGAAGTAGCCAGTGGCTGAAGAGAACAATGAGTCTTTTCTTCCGGACTAGAAGATCATAGCAGTTCTGTATCATTTTATAAAAGAAAGGAGAGAGAACCAGATAATCACTTATATTGTGATTGAAACGTATTATTTGAAAGTCCTACCTCAGAATCAGACTCTGAGCTAAAAGGGACCAGAGGGAGCACTTGCTGGCCTCTACTCTTCCCGAGGAGCAGGGGGAGGCTCTGTAAGCGCTGCGGCAGCGCAGGACAGAGCCACGTCTACGTCCTGGTTTACACCCCATCATCGCGGGGACGCTAGGGCTGCTTCTAAAGGACTGAGCTGGAAGGGGAACACCGGTGACGTGCCTTCCTCCTGCCCTGCCGCTGCGTCTGCAGGTGAGAAACGGGAGGTGCGCACACCAGCCTCCGAAACCTCAGCTTCCCGGGTCTGCTGCCTGGGTGGCAGAAGGGAGCAGAAATGACACGGGACTACTCAGGAATAAAAAGAAACCTAAGGAAGGTTTCAGCTCTCTAACATGCAGAAATGGGAAGGGCCATTATTATTAAAGTAATGGCTGAATGTGCTAATACACATACTGAAATGGAATTTGGGATATTCTATTACTAACTTTCTCTTACTAAATGGCTCTTTAACTCGCCTAAAGCTAGACTTACAGACTGTCTTTCCTGATCCAGGTCTCTCTCAGATTTATGGGTGGAGTCCTAACTGAAGTACATACACATTTTATAGGAGAGATTCCCAGGGGCAGGGACACAAATAAGTTTCAAGCTAACATAACTATTATCTATAGTAGTTAAGGATAATAAATAAATTCACAAACTTCATTTTATTCAAATATTCAACTATTCCCCCCTCTAATATTTCCCTAGCATTGAAAAAAGTGCTAATTTGCTTACCTTCTTTAATTATGCATATTGTGATATTGATTAAAGATTATAAAGGGGAAGTAGAAACAATTGAATAATCACCATCAAAATATTTTGTCTGTTCCTCTACTATATTATTCTCCCTGTGTCATTCTCTCTCACCTTTTCACTAATGAGCTGAAAGAGAGGCATCAACAGCAAGCATTCCAAAACAGTTAACAACTTACTTTCTCTGGATCAAGCTTTTGATTAAATTAAATGTATTTTAATCTCTGGATTAAATTAAAATATAATATCCCTGGGTTAAGGTTAAGAATTATGAGAAAGCACATGTCTATCAAGTGTGGTGGGCAGCGGACTGCATGGGCACTAGGTCAGCCAGCTCAGGGTGAAACAGTACTAAGCCACTGACACTCTACTCCTTCAGAGTTTAGCCTCAAAATGAGTCCTAACAGTGACCTTCCACTGAAATATTGAAAAGAAGCACAAATGGTTATCTCAAAACAGAAACAGTATCAGAAGTAATGTTACTATTAGTGTTATTTTCAAATCACCAAAATAGTATAGATATTAGAGGACAAAAGTAAACATCCATAATCAAAAAAATAAAATTGGAGACAAAGTATAGAAGGGCGAAGAATGTGCAATATAATACTGGTGTCAGTGTTGCCAATGTAAAATAATGTGTAAAATTAGTTTTATACATCATAAAGCATTTTTATGTTTCCCTCAAAATGGTGTTAAGTTTTCAACATTGCATAATTAAATGTTTTCTGAGTAAATTATGTGAAATAATTTTTTTCTCCAACATGCTAAATAGTTGAGCCTGACTACTTCACTAATTTCCCAACCAAATACAGTCCAGTATACAACCATTCATAAGCTACGTAATGAGATCAACTAGCCAAGGATTATTAAAATGATATCATATGTATTATCCTCCTATTCAATTGTCAAACCCATAAAAAAAATCTCTAAGGAAAACATTTTTCCTACCTCTATTTCAGAAGCCGACATGTACACAGCCAGAGTAACCAAAGATAACACCAATATAATGTATGGGAAGGCGTAATCTGAAAAACAAACATTGGCATTATGTTGAAAATTAAGCATATTTTCTAAGTAAACCATCAAAAAATTTCAAACAGTTTAATTCTCCCCATAACTGAAAACTTTCTCAGTCAGTCCTGTGAGAGACATTAGCCTCGGAGCCCTGAGGCAGGGGCCAGCAAAGGCCCTGTAAAGGGCCAGACAGTCCCTGTTTTTGGCTCCGCAGTGTCATTGGACAAAGGGATGATTCACATCAGGGTCGAGACAACCTGGATGGAGCAGCACTTTGACATACTACTCAGAGCAGTGTGCGTGCAATTTAAAACTTATAAATTATTTACTTCTGAGATTTCCCATTTAATATATTTGGACCACTGTTTACAGGTAACTAAAACCATGGGAATCAAAACCGCAGAAAAGGGGAGACTACTGTACTTGGAATACTTTAAGTATGGAAATACTGTAAGCAAAATGTTTTTCTTATAAAATACTGCCTTTCTCTTCAATGTTTTAAATTTATAACATTAAAAGAAAGGAGCAAACTGAGAAAGTACCTTAAATTATCTTTCATACAGCTGAAACCAGTTTGGCTCAATGGATAGAGCATCGGCTTCGGGACTGAGGGTCCTGGGTTCGATTCTGGTCAAGGACATGTACCTTGGTTGCGGGTATATCCCCAGTAGGGGGTGTGCAAGAGGCAGCTGATCGATGACTCTCTCATCGATATTTCTCTCTCTCTCTCCCTTTCTCTCTGTACAAAATCAATAAAATATATTAAAAAAATATTTAATACAATTGTTTTAAAATAATTAACTTCAGTTTATGAAACCAATCATGCTACATGGCAGTGAAACCCATTCGGAACAACTTCAAATGTTAATTTGGGATGCAGAAGCCAGGACCTCAGAATTATCCATAAAGGCCTAATTCCAACTTCCTAAATACCTGAATGGCTTCCTGAGATTTAGGACCTTTTATTTCATAGACAGTGCTTAGGTCCTCAACCGGTCATTCCAAAAAAAATCACATTGCGTTTGTAATTTTAAAAAATGTCACTGATACAAATTTAAGTCCTGGCAGAAGAGAAAGTTTCTAACAAGGTCCAAACTTCAAACCTGGGCTCGGGGCAGGATTTAACATAGCCTTACTCTAGGATCTAAATCAGTTTGAGATTTTGAGCCATTATGCCTGGTGGTGGGCCTCTATATATTGTATGCAAAAAACAGTTTTGTTTTCTAATTTATACTTGGGTTTTAAAAATCTTTCTGTTTAGGTTATAAGCTTAAAATACAAAGTATTCCCTAAATAGAAATCAGTTTTGGTTATCTGCCGCTGACTTCCTGAGAATTTCTATTTCATTCTTAAAAAAAGAATCATGACTTTTTTTTTTAAAGGCTTATTATATGTTTTAGGAAAAATATATACTGTGGTTTATTTTCAAGAATTAAAAAATTCGTCCTGGTTTGACTCAGGGGATAGTGTCGGCCTACAGACCAGAGGGTCCCAGGTTCGATTTCAGTCAAGGGTACATGCTGGGGTTGCAGGTTCGATCCCCATGAGGGGGTGTGCAGGAGGCAGCCGATCAATGATTCTCCCTCATCATTGATGTTTCTATCCTTCTCCCTTCCTCTCAGAAATCAATAAAAATGTATTTTTTAAAAATTCGATTTTAAAGAAAAAGCTCCAAAATTATTCTCAGAAGATATTATTGATCACATATAATATATAGATATATAGCTATTTGCCCAAGACACTTACATAGAAGGCCTCCGCCAACTGCCTGAAGCACGGTTAGGATGGGGAAGAAATACAGTGCAGCATAAATACTCTTAAATCGATCCGACTTCCCTAGCCCACAGGCAATCTTCTTCACCAGCAGGGGGCGGAGCAGCATCATTAACACCAAGCAGAACGCATAGTAGATAAATACAATGGTGTAGCTGTAAAGTAAGGAATCACATTATCAAAAATACTTTCAAAATACTTTATCATTGATCATGTTTAAATCAAAGGTACTATAAAAGGTTAAAAAGGCATACTAAGTCTACCCACTGAATATTCACACTGGTGGATGGTTTCCCAAAAGGACTCCCATACCATTGCTGAAAAGTGCATACTGGTCCCTTCCCAGGAGGCAGTCTGACAATGTGTATCCAAAATCCTAAAAAAATATTTACATCCTTCGATCCAGAAATTTTCCTTGCAGAAATTTATCAAAAGGAAATTATCAGGGATTCACAAAAATAACTTTATGAACAGGTTTTTATTGGATCACATAATAAAGAAAATTAATAAAATAAATATTCATCAACAGAAAACTGGTTAAATGTATGTGAAATACAATACTATGTAGCCATTAATTCATTAATTGAAGCTGAGAGTACAGCTCTATTAAATCAACAGGGATTTTATCAGTCCTTTATATATAAATTTTAGCTATAAATACATATAGAAAGAGACAGGGCTTAGAGCTGGGCAGGTGGAAAAGATTTTCATATCTTTACATCTAGATCTTATTTTTTGAAAATTACCTTTTTACATATGTGCATGTGTGTTTTGACACTTAGTACTATTAGAACTTTCTCAAAAAGGACTATTTTACTGAGCATATTACTTAATGAACACTTGCTATGGCTAGAACATAAATATCAGACTCTTCCTTTACCAAAAAAAACCCAACAACATCAAATGAACACCAACAATTTACAGAAATTCTAAAAATAAAGTAGTCTGGGATGATATTATACAGAATGCTATGAATTTGATATTTTTAAAATATTCTGATGGAAATTACATTTATTTGGAAAAACGGGAGGGGGGGGGAACACATTAACCCAAAACCTCTAATAATTTCAGCTACTGTTAGGTACTTTCCATATGTGAAGCACTGCACAGTATCTGATCTGTATGGATTTATTTGATCCTCACAATCACTTTATGAGGGATCATCATTCCCATTTTCCCAATGTGAGTTACAAGAGGCTCTTAACATGCTCAAGTTAATAGGACAACTGGCAGGAAAATAGATTGACTCTTATCTTTAGTGCCTCACCAAATTGCTATTAAAATTTTCTTAATTTTCTGTCAGGATTCAAACTCAAGCCTGCTTTCAGCTCCAAAGCCCATCCTCTTTCTCATATGTCCGATATTGCTTCTCTGCTGTGTATCAAAAAGGTGTTCCTTATAAATCTCTTTCTAAAAAACATAGATGGCTTATTTTATGTGTTCACACATACTTCAACACCAATGCAAAAGCACTTTAACTTCTATTATACTGAGATGTATTTCTATTTTCTCCTATCAGATGACATATCCCTTAAGAGAAGAAAATCATTTCTGTATATTTCCCCCAGGGCCTAGATGCCATTTTACAATGCTCAAAGCCTATTGGAATGAATTAAATCTATAAATGTCATTTTTAAAAACATGATCTTAAGACTAGATAAATACTTACAGTGGGTAGACAGCTTCATGAGTACAGTGCACAGTGGTGACATAATCTGGACTTGGGTTGTAAAGCATCGTGTACCAATCAGAAAGCATCAATACTCGGCATGAACGGATATAAAGAACACCGACTGGATCACTCACAAGTAAGGTGATGATAGCTGCCATGCTGCATTCAAATAATGCGGTGATGTGCTGGAAAAGTGCACTGGAACTAGTAAAACAAAAGCAGCACAATTACCCAAAACTATTAGTGCTAACTGGCTTTTCATAAAACCTGGATATGATTCAAGATATGGTTTCAATAAAGAAATGTTAACTGTTGACTCCTGAAACAAATTATCTTCTTAATGGATAAGAAAAGCCAAACATAGCCCTGACTGGTTTGGCTCAGTCGATAGAGCATCAGCCTGCTGACTCAAGGGTCCCAGGTTCGAGTCCAGTCAAGGGCATGTACCTTGATGTGGGCACTTCCCCAGTAGGGGGTGTGCAAGAGGCAGCTGATCGATGTTTCTCTCCCATCGATGTTTCTAACTCTCTATCCCTCTCCCTTCCTCTCTGTAAAAAATCAATAAAATATATTTTCTAAAAAAAAGAAAAAGAAAAGCCAAACATATGAAAACCACTTGAGAAGAGTTTAACCTTGTTTACTAAAAAGAAATACCATGCCAGTATCATCTAAATATGCAGGAGAGCAGAAAATAGATTGACCCTTATCTTTAGTGCCTCACCAAATTGCTATTAAAATTTTCTTAAAGTTGCCATGACTGGTTTCGCTCAGTGGATAGAGTGTCAGCATGGGGACTGAAAGGTCTCAGGTTCAATTTCAGTCAAGGGCATGTACCTTGGTTGCAGGGGGGTGTGCAAGAGGCAGCTGATCAATGTTTCTCATCAATTTTTCTAACTCTTTATTCCTCTCCCTTACTCTCTGTAAAAAATCAATAAAATATATTTAAATTTTTTTTCTTGAAGTTATTTATGCATCATTAAAAATTATCTTAAATATAAAAAGTACACTTTTGGATAACTAACAATATACTAGAGGCTTGGTGCACAAAAATTGGTGAACATGGGGAGGTTCCTCAGCCAGACCTGTGCCCTCACTCAGTCCAGGAGCTCTTGGGGGATGTGTAAATGATGGCTTAGGCTTCCCTCTGCGGGAAGCAACTGGTGAGGCAACCGGTGGGCTGATCTGGGAATAGCACTGGCCAGAGAGCAGCTGGTCCTGCCCCCAATTGCCCCTCCACCACTACTGGTCACTGCCACACACTTATCGTCATCCCCTCCCTCTGCCCACTGGCACCCGCCTTGGCGGGCCTGGTGCTGCCAGCTCGCTGGCCCTGCCCACCCACTGACCAGTCGTTCTGACATTCAGTCTATTTGCATATTAGGCTTATATTATATATGATGACTAGGGTCCTGGTGCATGAAAATTCATGCACTGAAGTGGGGAGGGTCCCTCAGTCTGGCCTGCTCCCTCTCACAGTCTGGGAGCTCTTGGGGGGCGGTAGACGACCTAGCGATCAGGGGAAGGCGACGCCCCATCACACCTCTGCTGCTGCCACTGCAGGCAGCGCAAACCTTGGCTGGCCCTGGTTACTTGAGCCTTGGGCGGCCCTGTGCAGATTGGGGGCTGAGGGTACTGGGGGACTCTGCAGGCAGGTACACAGATCGGCTGGGCCCGCCTGCTGCCCTGGTGGGACTGAGGGGTCTGGGCAGCACCGTCTGGTGACTGCGGGTGCTGCCATCTTTTGAGGGTGGGTCAATTAGCATATTCCCTCTTTATTGGCTATGGGTGCCGCCATCTTTGAGGAAGGTCACCTGGAGCTCATGATTAGCCCATATTGTTGGAAGCAGAACCCTAGCACCATTTTACACAGTTGAAAATACTAGATACATAAACATTTACACTTTCATATATAATCCAATCTTTTATTTCCTTATAGAATTCATATTTTTAGAGGCAAAATTTTAATTTCATAATTTCTTGCCATTGTTTTAGCCTTCTATTTTAGCTTTATGCGCATAACATCCTTTTTATTGTCATCTCTCATTATTCTATAACAAAAATTTTTAAAAAGATGAGAGTTTTAAGAAAATCTATATGTTCTTCTGAAAAATAATAAACCTGAGTCTGGCCATCACTGTTTCTGGGGCCACAGCCTTCTAATATGTCTCTCCTCTAATCTACCCTCCACAGAGGTCATCTTCCTAAAATACACATCCAAGGATGTTACTTCTCTAAACCAGACCTTCATGAATAAATCATTCACTCCACAAATACTGGGTGGGTATTTCTCAGGGGCAGCTGCTGTGCTGGTCTCTGCAGATTCCACGGAGGACAGAGTGTCACTGCCCTCTTGGAGCTGACAGTCAAGGGCGGGCGGAACGCTAACTGAGGAAACAAACCTAACTATAAATGTGGTGAGTGCTAAAACGAAACAAAAACAAATGAAGAGCGCTATTAAAAAAGAAAAAGAAGGGACAGACCTACTTTAGCTTGGGTCAGGGGAGGCCTCTCCGAGTAGTTGTAATTTAAATTGAAGGGAAAAAGGCAGCTACGTAAAAAGTTGCAGTTTGAGGGACAAGAAAGTACTTGAGGCAGAGAAGAGTTTGGGGCAAGGGAAAGGACCTAAAGCAGGAAAGTTACTAATATGTTAGAGCAGTGGTAGGCAAACTGCGGCTCTCGAGCCACATGAGGCTCTTTGGCCCCTTGAGTATGGCTCTTCCACAAAATACCACATGTGTGGGCGCGCACATACAATGTGACTAAAACTTCGTGGCCCATGCACAGAAGTTGGTTTTCGTCTCTTGAAAGAAATTTCAATCGTTGTACTGTTGATATTTGGCTCTGTCGACTAATGAATTTGCCGGCCATATATGCTAAGCCATACGTAGTATGGCTAATATACTAAGGTAGAATTTGGGTCCTTGTTCCCAGTAGAATAAAATTCACATACTCATCAAGAACCCTCACCCGCTGGCCACAGCCTATCTTCCCCTCTTTCTTCCATAAGCAATCCACACTGAGACCACCGGTGAGCACTTCCATCTCCACCCTAACAGGACACACATTTCATACCTCCACGCGCAAACTCTTTCCTCTGCCTCAAATAGTCTCTCCCCCCCCCCCAAGTCTTTCAGATCCTACCAGGCACAATTTATCTCTTCCTTTCTTTATGATTGCAGAGCATTTTGTTCACAGTGCTTTTAGAGTTTTAAGAATGACTTATATTACTTACATTACAATATATACCTTTGTCTTCTCTAAAAGATTGTGACTATAAACCATGTCAGTTATCTGTGTATCTCCTCCTCTGACCTTATGAACATAAAACACAGTGCTTAATAAATGCTTATGGAGATAATGTGCTAGTATGAGTTTTCATAACTAGGTTGCAGCTACAGCATTTTAACTATTCGATACATTATAATCAACTACTACCGTGTTTCCCCGAAAATAAGACATCCTCCGAAAATAAGACCTACTTACAGGTTTCCTTCTGAGTGAAATATAAGGCATCCCCCCGAAAATAAGGCCCCTCTAGGCTAAACATGAGAGATTTGGTCCACTGATTCTGAAAGAAATGGAGTCACAAGAAATTCACCAGGAAATTCAGGAATTGGATTATGATGATGATATTCCAGAAGATGATGACATGATTGTCACTGAATAAATGAGTAAATTCTTGATACCGTAGAATTCACAGTTTGTCTGGTTTGTACTGTACTACCGTACCGTATACAGGTAATAAATTTCCTTTATTTTCATTTAACAATAAATGTGTGCCGTATTCTTCTTCATGGAAAAATAAGACATCCCCTGAAAATAAGACCTAGCGCATCTTTGGGAGCAAAAAGTAATATAAGACACTGTCTTATTTTCGGGGAAACAGGGTAGTAGTAAATTAAATCACAAAGTATTAGTTCTAGAACAATAAAGCAATTATTTGTGAAAAACAACAACAATAAAGATAATTTAAAAATGCTTCCAATTTCTTTAACAACAAAAAAGACATGTAAAAAAAAAGTTCCTTCTAGCTCATTTAAAGTAAAACAAAGGCAAATTCCCTCAATAAATATTGAGGCATGCCCTATCATTAAGTTTTGTGGCCACAATCAAAAGTAATCAGAATATAAAACTAAAACAGGCTTACCACTTTTAAAACAAACAACAGAAGTATAATTACTTGATTCTAACTAATAATTATTCCAGCATCAGTCCATCCAGATACACTCATAGGAAGTGCTAACCTCTTTTTCCCCGAGTACCATTCAATGAAGAACCAATGCAAAACCAGAGGAAGCATAGCCATGAATCCAAGATAGAGCCAATCATAGAGCTCTGGAGACTCCGTGCAAGGCTGACAGTATTTCTGTGCGTTTGTTCTCTGGCCTCTTGGACACACCTACAACATATAAAAATAATATTTTATGTACAGATGTTACTTTAGAACTTTAGCACCCCCAAAAGCTTTCTATAAAATGTCCCATTTCTGTTTAAACATCTGTTTACATGTGCAACTTTTAGATATAAAAAAGGAGAAAGCATAAGTAAAATAAAAAGAAATCTACACTGTATTTGCCTATATCTGTATAATGCTCTGAAAGGAGTCCTTTTACTAAGTTACTAAAATAGTCGACTAATATTAAATGACATATTTAGCTATTAAACATAGTATCAAAATAACTGCAAACAAGTGTACTGGAATTGTAATGTTAACTTACTTGGATATCCAAGTCACTGTGCTATATCATTAATAAAAAATAATTTAAAATTACTCTAAAATTATAAAATGTTCTTGCCCTAACTGGTTTTGCTCAGTGGATACAGCATCGGCCTGTGGACTGAAAGGTCCAAGGTTTGATTCCGGTCAAGGGCATGTACCTTGCTTGCCGGCACATCCCCAGTAGGTGTGCAGGAGGCAGCTGATCGATGGTTCTCTCTCATCAATGTTTCTAACTCTCTATCCCTCTCCCTTCTTCTGTGTAAAAAAAAAAATCAATAAAAAATATTTTTAAAATATTTTAAAAAATTATAAAACGTTCTTAAAAACACTGTGACTGTAAAGAAAGATTATAGAAAATCAATATGACAAAACAAAGAATTTTATTAATGCCTACAGTCTTTTATAAATGAATGAATAGAGTGAAGAAACAAGATATACTACATGTGAAAATATTTTCAAGAGCAAAAAGATTTTACAAATGAACTAATATGCAAACATTAAGACTTACCCCACATTCTCCATATAGTTCAGTTGAGCCATTTTTAAACAACAGGGTCTTCCCACAGTAAAGTCCAAGGCATGCTGGTTGAATATCGACAGCTTTTTAAAAACAAATGCCAGTACAGTAATATCTTTTGTGATTATAAAAGATAATGCAATAATAAGTGAAGTACTTGGCAGAAATCTCTCAGTACAGTTTCAAATAAAATAATCATAGGTGTGTGTTGTGGCAAAAAGTCTTGTGCATTTATTTTAAAAATTAAATTTCTCCTTTTCACTGTGACACAACACGGCACAAAGTTATATTGGAACCTTGTTCTTAATACTGTTTCTTATGATTAAACATCCTCAGTCCTCTGCCTGCAGGTCAGGAGGTATCCCTAGAACTCAAAGCCTAGCCTGGCCTGTCTCCAGTAGCTCCAGCCTGCCACGCCCCTTGATCAGATGGTCTAGACTTCTGAATTTAAATGGTTTTCTAGGAAGAGGATTAGTAGAGGATCACTACTTTTCATTCTGCTCAGTCAGGACGTTAAGTGCACGTGCACAAACACACACAAACACACTATCTAGTATCACCTTCTTTCATAACAGAACACATTTTAATACCAGCAAAGCAGAAAGAATATAATTTCAGAATAAAGGGCAGGCCTTTAGAGTAAATAAATTCACCTTTTTAAGAGGATTATTTACACTGTCCTACCTTTTGTCACGGACAGGTGAAAATTCCATCAAGCCTGTCACTGGGCCAGGGACCCACCCTTGGGAACCACTGCCTGAATCAATCCCCTGACCTCCAGGCGTGGGGGAAATGAAAAGCAGCTGTTCTTTACAAAACAACTCAGGGCCGACAGATTGTCTTTGACCTCATCAACAGGTAGAGGTTATTGAAGGAGGATTTTTTTTTTTTTCATCAGGGACATTTCCCTTCCTTCATTGATTCCCTCATTCAATGAACATGCATTAAAGGTCAGATTCCCCTGGTTAGGGACAACTAAAGATCCACAGAGGACCATGACAGTCCCTGCCTTCAATGACCCGTTAGCCGACTGTGGGACAATTCCAAAACAACTGTGGTCAAATGTAAATTAATTGGAAAATGATGCATTTTATAATTATGATGAACAATCACTTCCCAAATTCTTCATGAATTCACAATCTAGAGATTGGCTCACAATGCCCTTTGTCCTTTCAAATTTGAGTAGACTTTTGTTTGTTTTTCTCCTTTTGCGATTGAGAAAAAAACAACAACACAGAAATAACACTGACTAAAATGCCTCGTTTAATATTTTCACCTTTATCAAATTTTTGAGTTTTTTTTTAAACCCATGGGCTTCTTTGACACTTATTTTTAAACCCAACTGTAATCACAATGTTCTAAATCTAAACGAATAGATGGAAATGAGTTGATTTTTTGAGAAGACCCAGGTGAAAGAATTGGAAGTCTTTCTACACAGGCTTTGAATGTAGTAGATGCTTAATAAATATATTTGCGTGTAAGTCGTTTCTCAAACCCCAAGTTCTGAAACAGCTTATCATCAGCCAAACAAACCCTGACTCCGAGTGTCCGTTCCCTTTCCTTACATTCCCTGCCGTACATTTTGACTTTTTCTTTTTCTTTTTTTTTTTTTTTTGCAATCTTTGTGGAGGGCCCCCTACGCTTAGGGTTGATGCCGAAGCAGGAGATCACAGCAGGTAGGCGGCCATCAGCCTCTGCTCCCTTAGCTGTTTCTCTGCACTAACGCCCTAAGCTGGGAAGGCAACCCTGCGAGTGTCAAACGGAGACTCAAGTGACGCTTGGAACGCTGTGACTGCAGAGGCCTAGCCCACCCCTCCCGGCGCCGCGGCCTCCCCTCCGCGCCGGCTGGAGCTCAGGCCCCCGCCCCCGCCCGCATCCCGCAGGGCGCGCCCCCACGGCGAGCGAGCGGCGGGGGAGCAAACAGCGAGGATGGGCCGCGCCCCGCGCAGCAGCCAAGCGAAGCAGCAGGGACTTCTGCAAACGCTCCCGGGACCCCGGCGACCACTCACCCATTAGCCGCAGGTTAGTTTCCCTGGAGAAGCTCCAGGATCAGCCCCGGGGCCCGCCGCGCCCGGACATCCGGGCCACGGACGCCTCGGCGGCTCCGCCCCCTGGTAACCCGGGCGACCGCTCCGAAGCCCCGCCCCCCGCTCGCGCTTCCCCATCCGGGCTCCGAGGCCCCGCCCCCTAGGAGGCCGCGGGTCCTGGAGGGCCCCGGGTGTGCGGCGCGCGCCCCGCCGGGCGGTAGTCAGTCGTGTCCGCCATGCAGACCCCCGAGAGCCGGCCGGCGCCGCCCCGGCTGCCCCCGCACGACCCGGGCACGCCGGCGCTGTCGGTGGTGGACATGCACACGGGCGGCGAGCCCCTGCGCATCGTGCTGGCGGGGTGTCCGGAGGTGGCGGGCCCCACGCTGCTGGCCAAGCGGCGCTACATGCGCCAGCACCTGGACCACGTGCGGCGGCGGCTCGTGCACGAGCCCCGCGGGCACCGGGACATGTACGCGGCCGTGCTGGTGCCGAGCGAGCTGCCGGGCGCGCACCTGGGCGTCCTGTTCCTGCACAACGAAGGCTACAGCTCCATGTGCGGCCACGCCGTGCTGGCGCTCGGCCGCTTCGCGCTGGACTTCGGGCTGGTGGCCGCGCCCCCTGCCGGCGCCCGCGAGGCCCGCGTCCACATCCACTGCCCGTGCGGGCTGGTGGCCGCCTTCGTGGAGTGCGAGGGCGGCCGCAGCCTCGGCCCGGTGCGCTTCCACAGCGTCCCGGCCTTCGTGCTGGCCACAGGTAACCGGGGGACCTGCCATCCCCGAGACGCTACTAACTACTACATTCGTTCTCTGGGCTGGAACCCACGCCGCGCAACTAACCCACCCACAGGCTTTGCAAATAATGAAAAGGTAGTTCTAAGTCATTTCAGGGAGCCTTCCGGACTTGTGCGGAGCATGCACCCCAATGATCCCTCAGGTCCGTGGGCCTGTGGTCCTGAGAGAGCCTGGAGACGTGGAGATTTCCGCACCTCGTGCCCCATTGGCAGGCATTCCTAGATTTCACAATCCGATAAAGCTAGGGCGGCCAGAGTCAAAGAGCAAAGACCAGCCCATGGGCCCAGGCTCCAGGCTGGCCCAGAATACCCTCGCTGGACACATTATCCCATACTCTGATGGGTTACTGAGACTGATCTGTAAAAAGTGCTTCTCCACTTCTTGGGGAGGAAATTAAATGAGAATGAACTAGGCAACTTATAAATCACGAAAGTACTGATGTAATAACTGTCTAAGAACTAGCATCCTTACATAGAGGGAAATCCCTCCAACAGGCAGAATTCTATCAGTGAGGATGCTCGAGTAGTCGTGGCTGGAAGTGAGCTGGGAACTCATTTAGTCCAACCAGGAATGGGGTTATCACCTCTTTTTTTTCAAAGCCTTCAAGCCATGCATATCATTCTGCTAGTTGGATCTTAATCCTCCCCTGGGATTGGATGCCAGGTTAGCCTGATTCTGAATGATGCCGTGATAGCCAGGCTCCTTCTCAGAGCAAACAGAGGCCGCTTTTTCCTGTAGGAGAGAATGGGTCACATGTGCATTAGGAAAGCCCTGGAGGGGGACAGGAGTCTGTGTCTAGATTTCATCTCAGAAACCTCAACAGTTTAACCAACTTGGCACCTCAATCACCCCAGCAGCAGGTGGGAAGCACCCTAGATTTTGTGGGAAATGGCAGCAGGCAGCAGGACCACCACCATCTCAATTTTGGCAAGTGATGGCAGGGGCAGCCAACCCCATCAGCTCAGTAGTTCTGAGACAATGAAATCTGGCCGGGCTGGCATGGCTCAGAGGTTGAGCATCGACCTATGAACCAGGAAGTCACGGTTCAATTCCCCGTCAGGGCATATGTGCCCGGGTTGTAGGCTTGATCCCCCACATGGGGCGTACTTGGGGGGCAATGATTCTCTCATTACTGATGTTTCTATCTCCCTCTTCCTTCCTCTCTGAAATCAATAAATATATTTTAAAAGAAAATGATATCCTAAATTCTCTACTTAAAAAATACAAAAAAAGTGGACCGAGAGTGTTCAATCAAGATCAGAGTGTTCAATCTGTCCTTCCTCATTGTGGTGACCTTGTGAGAGGGTGTCTGTCCCTCAGTGTCAAGTCTGTAAAATGAAGATGACGACAGTGCCCACATCGGAAAATTGCTGAGCCCACCTCCACTCCACCTGCCATAATGAAAACCCCAGAATTCTGTTCACTGTATTCAAGTGTTAGAACAATAGGTAGTTAACATTTGTTAAATAAATAACTAAGATGACATTTGGAAGAGAATATGCTGATTGACAAATATAAACAACCGGTTCTCTTAAGAGTTCTATTCCTATTGGCTTTAATATTAACATTTATGACATTACTAATCTGTGCCAACCACTCCGCACAGATGATCACACGGAATTCTCAAAGGAAACCTTTTTTGGGGGGAATAGCAATGCCGTTTTACACACGAGGACCCTAAAGCCACACTTAACTTTCTAGCAGCCCCTTATTTCCATCGAATCTCTCATTCTCTTATTAAACGTGCTTTTCATGTTGTATCAGCATCCAGATAAAAACCCTTTCATTCAGGTTTGCTGTTAAGTTCCACAGGCATGTTTCACTCTCGATGATAAATTTGCCGTGTTTTGACATGTCACATGTAAAAGGGCTCTGTGCTCTGGTCTGTGACTGACTGCATTCCGGTGCCTTTGTAGGACTGTGCAAACTCAGGAATACAGGAAATACTTCATTTTTCACCACTGAACTTGAGACTCCACTGTGCCTTATTGGTTGACTTAGTTCCAGCCCTCCACTCGTTGCCCCTTTTCCTGACATATATGTGAGCAAATAGCCTAGGCCTTGGGGAGGGGAGCCTTTCGGTCCTCGCCTTGCAGAGATTACCAGGGAAGCATTACCTGACCCCTTCCATGTGGCCCTTGCCCCTACCCCTGCCTCTCCTTGCTGCCTCGGTCACACCCTGCAGCCTCTCCGTGGTGTGTGGGCTAAGTTAACCCAGGTCCTCTGCACTCAGGACCTTCCTCCTCTTTTCTCAGCCCAGAGGAAATTTCCCTATTGACCAAGAGAAATACGTCTCCCTTTAGAGAGCAGGAAGCAGCTGGGGCGGGTGGGGGGTTTGGGGGCGGGGATGTGGGGGATGGAATAATGTAGAAGAAAGACTCACTGGACGGGGTCAATGGTGGGAAAAGGGGACATATGTAATACTTTCAACAATAAGGATTTTAAAAGAGAGAGAACTCATGGACAACAGTGTGGTGGTTGTGGGAGGAGGGGGAGGTGGAAGAGGGCATAGAGGGGATAAAAGGTGATGGAAAAAAATAAAGTAAAATATAGTACACAACTTTGCCAACAAATCTCTTCCCCCTGCGATCGTTTCCCACAAAACCTGCTTCTCCCCTGCCATATGCCTCCCCAAGAAGCCGTGATCACCAAGCCCACTGGAATTGGGATGGAGAGAGGAAAATTCGAGAAGGGGGGAAATAATTTTAATATCCTGAAGTATCAGCCAGCCTCATTCCTTTGGAAATGTCAATTCAGTATTTCAAACAACTGACCTTCAGGTGGAACTTTGGGTATGTTGGCACTTAAAATACTTATAAAAATCCTGCTGCAAAATAATGCCATAAAGGTCAGTGATTGCACAGTGACTTGTTCTGAGCATTTGCCTGCAGTATTTGCATGAGGTGAAATATATAAGTGAATAAGTGTTTGCACGTAACATATAGGAAAAGTCTTTTTTTTTTTTTTTTTTTTTTGCATTTTGTTTTGACATTCGATTTGAAGAAACCAATCTGTGAATAGGGCTCCAAATCCTCACTATTTAAAACCACTCCTAGTCGTATGAGAGGGCACCTACATTTTCCTTCATAGTTTTCACACGTTGATGTCCCAGGGTTTTTCTCTGTCTGTCCCTATGATGTTTCCTAGAAGAAGAAAAAAAAGATACTCAGAATAGTTAATAAATATACATGTATAATTTAAGGAAAACATGCATTCAAGTGTATAACTTATGCAAACATGGAGTTAAAAATAGATAGGTGTACTTAGCTAAAGGTCTATTATTATTTACTCGATGCTTACTCGTTTGGAAGATGGATTTTTGTCTCATTTCTTTTTGTGATAGGAAGAACCTCCTACTTCCTCTACACTCCCCACCCCACCCCCACAACATAAACATATGAAAAGTTTTATGATTTATATTGCTAAACTACTAAAACACTTACTCGAACACCTCTTTTTTAGATCTGCTGGTCGATGTTCCTGGTCACGGGAAGGTGGTGGTGGACATTGCATATGGTGGCGCATTTTACGCATTTGTTAGTGCTGAAAAGTTAGGCCTCGATGTTTGTTCTGCAAAGACAAGGGACCTTGTGGATGCAGCAAGTACAGTGACAGAAGCAGTGAAAGCTCAGGTTAGTACTGTTGCTGCCATCAAAACTGCTGCTTTTTATGATACCAGCTGAATTCATTCTTTAAAAAAAATTTTTTTTCTTGATTTCAGAGAGGTAGGAAGAGGGGGAGAGAGAGATTTGTAAATATCAATGATGAGAAAGAATCATTGACCAGGTGCCTTCTGCACACTCCCCACTGGGGATCCAGCCTGCAACTTAGGCATGTGCCCTCACCAGAAATCCAACCGGAGACCTCTTGGTTCCTAGGTCCATGATCAACCGCTGAGCCACACCACCTGGGCAGACTTCATTCTCTACAGTAGGTCATTCTTTTTCCACCCAATTGTTTCTCTTACCTATTAGTGTCTACATCCTTGTAACTTTTGCTTGCCCTTTGTCTCTATCACTGGTATTTACTTCAGTTCTAGATACACATCGCCTGATTTCTCCACATGATCCCCTTCAAGCTCCTGAGAGTGAGGATATGGTGGCCTTAGCTCTTCCTGTTTGAGCAGCCCTAGCCAGCCTGTGGGTTGATCATCCCAGGCTCAGTGCCTCAAAGAGTGTGTGTGGTTAGTGAGGGTGTGTGTGTGTGTGTGTGTGTGTGTGTGTGTGTGTGTGTGGTTAGTGGGTGTGTGTGTGTGTGTGTAAAATAAGTGGAGGCTATGTGCAGGGCAACTTCCTTAGGAAGGACTCACAACTTCCACCCGGCCAGTGTGACCCGGCCAGTGTGACTCAGTGGTTGAGGATCTACCCACGAACCAGGAGGTCACTGTTTGATTCCCAGTCAGGGCACAATCCCCAGCAGGGGCTGTGCAGGAGGCAGCCCATCAATGATTCTCATCATTAATGTTTCTCTCTCTCCCTTCCTCTTTGAAATTAAAAAAAAAAATCACAACTTCCAATAAAACTGTTTATATATCTAGACAACCATGTCATTCTAACATTTAATGCCTTCACCCAAAAGGTGTTTTAAAAATGATAAAGATGGAAAAATTATGTCTAAGAGTGCTCCATATATGTTGTTTAAAATATAAACGCGAACCAAAGTATTATATTTGTTTTACATGTGGTCTATAATTTTTCGTTACTTACAGTTTAAAATTACACATCCTGAAAGTGAAGACCTTGCCTTTCTGTACGGAACTATATTAACTGATGGAAAAGACGCTTACAGTGAGGAGCCAACCACCAACCTTTGTGTGTTTGCAGATGCGCAGGTATTAAAACTGTGATTATTAGGCACAAAACTCATGCGATGTGGAAGTGGAGCACTGTGAACACTCCATCTTCATTTATTCTGACACAGGTGGACCGGAGTCCTACGGGCTCAGGGGTGACAGCCCGCATTGCCTTACAGTATCACAAAGGGCTTCTGGAACTGAACCAGACCAGAGCCTTTAAAAGCAGCGCCACTGGCTCCGTGTTCACCGGGAAGGCTGTGAGGGTGAGTGACGCCTTTACCTCCTCCTGTAAAGGTGTTACTTTTGAGACTGAAGAGGTGTGAGCTGGGTGTGTGATGGGTTTTTTCACTCAGCTCTCAGAAGACAGTTATCAAACAGACCTGTCAGAACTGTTCAGCTAGGATATTGGTTCTCAAAGTGAGGTTTCCCAAGGTCCTTTCCATGGGTCCACAAGGCCAACACAATATTCATAATAATACTAAGACACTTTAATTCTCTCATGAGTGTACAGTTCTCCAGAGGCAGAATAACGTGCTATCCCAGCTGACTGAATGGAGGAGCAGATGTGAGGATCTAGCTGTCTTCTTTACAGCCAGACATGGAATGCTTCAAAAAATGTGAAACAATGCCATTTTTCTCATGAGTTGTTTTTTTTTTATTTGTTTTGGCAAATGTTATTTCACAAAAATTTGTTGTTTATGTTAACATGCAATGAGTTTATTTTTTAAATGAATTAATGAAATATACCTTTAATTTTTTTTAAAGAGCAAACAGTAATAGATATAACCTATGTAAACAAAAACTCTTTTGAGGACTTCAAACCTGAAGGTGTAATGGGAATTGAACCTGCACTCTTTGCTGCACTAGATGATGCTCCAACCAACTGAGCCAGCTGGCCAGGGAAATATAGCTGTTTTTAAAGCTTGATTTTTCTAAATATTGAATTAAGTTAGGCATTTCTATACGTTACCTGATCTTATGAGATACCAAATCATTACGTTGAATGCAAAAATTTGGAGTACATTGTCTTCAAGTCTCTGAATGAAGATAAAATAATAATCTATCATACTTATTGGGTGTTTCACTATCGATACATATCAGTTTCCAAGCTAACCACATGATGCATGCCATATCATTTCATTCTCACACGAATCCTGGGAGGTCAATGCTATTCTTTAACAAATGATAAATTGGAGAGTTTAGGTAATTTGCCAAAAGGCAAAGAGTAATGGATCCAGACTATGAACATGATCTCTCTGAGCAGACCTCACACTGTTAACATTATATTGTTATTAGACAAGGTGAGTTTTCAGTGAGGCTTTATATTAGAGCAGCTTTATAAAAAGATAATAAAATTACTGTACCCTAAGCTCATAATTGTCATTTACCTTAAGCTTCAGTTATCCTGTTTTTTAAAAATGAGAAAATGTAGATACTGTGTAGTGGAGATCTGAAGTTATTTAACACCTATTATCATACTTGCCAGAACATCTTCATTTGCACCACTGACCTTTGCTCTCTGTCTGGCCTCTTCCAGGCTCTCTCATACTATCTCCATCTCTTTTCCTGCCCAGCTTCCTTATCCTGCCCTTCCGTTTACAAGCCCCCAGCATTTTATCCTTAGCGTCCTTCTCATCTCATCTGCTATTTGATGCCACTGGGCAATTTCACCCACTTCTGAAGTTTCAACTCTCAGCCACCCACTGATGACTTCTAAACCTTCCTCCCTCCCATGCCTACCCTGGGCTTCTCTCCTGAGTCTAACAGGTATGTTCCCCACTGTCCAGTAAAGTCATCTCAAAATGACTGTCTCAGAGATATTGCACACTCAACTTGTTAAAAAAAAGTTCTTTCCTGTCAAAACTGGTTTGGCTCAGTAGATAGAGCATCGGCCTGCAGACTGAAAGGTCTCAGGTTTGATTCTGGTCAAGGGCATGTACCTTGGTTGCATGCACATCCCCAGTAGGAGGTGTGCAGGAGGCAACTGATCGATGTTTCTCTCTCATCAATGTTTCTAACTCTATATCCCTCTCCCTTCCTCTCTGTAAAAAAAAAAAAAAAAAAAAAAAAAAAAAAAAAAATCAATAATATATATATATATATATATATATATATATATATATATATATATATGTATTTAAAAGTTCTTTCTTCCTAAATGTGCCTCTCCTGCTACATTCACTTTCAAGCTACAATAAAAGCTGTAGTCATATTTACTTCTATTCCTTACTTCCCACATATCAGTCCCCAGGCCTGTCAGTTCTTCCTCCAAAGTATCTCTATATTTTGCTTTTCCCAGCCTCACTAAAAATTACCGCAGTGACTGTAGATTCAGTCAGTGAATTAAGCTTACCAGGGTTCTGGGTGTCTAGTTTCTCTCCTCCCTAGTAGTCTCCCACTGTACAGTTAGTTTATGTAAAACACAAACCTAACCAGGTCGCTCTCCTTTCAGTGGATTAACTCTTGGGTTTTCTTTAAAATAATAAAAATTAACAATATGACTTAAACCAGATACAATATGAATGCAGTAATTTGATACTGTACTCCTTTCGTCTTCTCTTTTCAGGAAGCAAAGTGCGGGGATTTTAATGCAGTGATAGTGGAAGTCTCTGGACGAGCCCATTACACGGGTACAGCAAGCTTCACCATAGAAGACGATGACCCACTGAGGGATGGGTTTCTTCTCAAGTGACTTCCATGGCTTTTAAAGGCTTTCTTTTTAAGCAATCAGTACCTGTCAGTAATTTTCATCTGAAATATTTGGAAATCTATATCCAAATTGTATAATACATGTAAGCCAATTCCCATTTTTCTAAAATAGTACACTATGGTTAAATATAAAATCATTCTACCTTGCCCTAACCTGTTTGGCTCAGTGGATAGAGGAACACACCCTAGCCTTTCAAGGTCATGCTGTCACCTTGAGAGGGCATAGTTTGTGTTGTTTCTTGGTGCCCTGGATACTTCCACCTCCCTCAGCAGCCACACCCTAGTCCAGTGGTCGGCAAACCGTGGCTCATGAACCACATGTGGCTCTTTGGCCCCTTGAGTGTGGCTCTTCCACAAAATATCACGTACCCTAATTAAGTTAGTAACAATGTACCAACCTATATAGTTTAGGTTTTAAAAATTTGGCTCTCAAAAGAAATCTCAATCGTTGTACTGTTGATATTTGGCTCTGTTGACTAATGAGTTTGCCGACCACTGGCCTAGCTCCTCAGAGCACCTGTATCAGTCACCTGTGGGGTTTAGTCCTCAGTAATCCTGGGAGTCAACCAGTGCATCTGCATTTCATAAACACATTTCATAACATTAGTGGTTCCCAAAGTGTGGCCATCAGACCAGCAACATCCCCACCTAGGATCTTGCTAGAGATGCAAAATTCTAGGATGGGACCCCAGACCCAGAGAATCTGAAACCTGGGGTTGGACTGACTCAGTTTCAGCAAGAAGTCCAGGTGATTCTGTTAGACGCTCCAGGTTGAGAACACCTGTGTTAACTAGGGTGACCAGACGTCCCGCTTTTGGCGGGACAGTCCGGATTTCTAGCAATTTGTCCCGAGTCTCGCGATGTTTTAAAAAAAGTCCAACACCGCGGGTCAAATTGTTAGAAATCGGGACTGTCCCACCAAAAGCGGGACGTCTGGGCACCTTAGTGTTAACCTATCTTGCCCTCTCGTTTAACATCTCTGGATTGGGGCAGCTTCCACTTCAGGTCCTCCATTCCTTCCCTACCTGCATGTGCCCGGAAACACCCACAGGGAGCCAACGCATCCCCCGCGAAGGCCTTCCCAGGGCGTCCTATCCAAGAAAAGAACGAGCATGAACCCTCGTTGTATTTGGTTACTGACAGGAGGGCCCCTCCCGCTTTATCTGGCCGGACAGGGTCCCCGCGGCGGCCCCTTTGGCCCTCGGGAGCCCGGACCCCAGGGCGAGGCGCCTCGCGGGAGGTGAAGCCGTGCGCCCGCCCCGCGCGCTCCTGCGTAAACAGGCGGTTCCCTTGGCAACGCCTGGAACCCGCGTCCAAGGCTCCGCAGGCTCTGCCGCGACCACCGCCGCCCCTCCTCCGGCCCAGCCCCGCTCCCGCAGCCGCCTCTCGCCCTGGCCCGGGACACCCTCCGGCTCGCGGCCGCCGCCCCCCGGGGCGGGATGACCAGACCTGCGGCCGCCGCGGGGCCCCATGGAGCCAGCGTGCACGGCCTCGTCGGGCAGCCCGCGCCCCGGCGCCCCCTCCGCGGCCGGCACACCTGGCGGGCCCTCCTCCGCGGCGACGGCGGCGGCCGCGCTCTCCTTCAGCACCGTGGCCACCGCGGCGGCCGCGGCGCTGGGGAACCGGAGCGCCGGGAGCGAGGGCGGCACCACTGGCGCCGCGGCTGGCGGCGGCCTCGGCTGGCCTGGGGCGGCGGGGGCGGCGGGGGCGGCGGGGAGGCCGCCGATGCGCCCCGAGGCGGCGCCGCAGCTGCTCACGCACGGGGCGGCCGTGGCGGCCCAGGCGCTGGTCCTCCTGCTCATCTTCCTGCTGTCTAGCCTGGGCAACGGCGCCGTGATGGGGGCGATCGCGAAGCACCGGCAGCTCCGCACCGTCACCAACGCCTTCATCCTGTCGCTGTCCCTGTCGGACCTGCTCACGGCCCTGCTCTGCCTGCCCGCCGCCTTCCTGGACCTCTTCACGCCGCCCGGGGGCTCCGCGCCCGCCGCGGGGCCCTGGCACGGATTCTGCACCGCCAGCCGCTTCTTCAGCTCGTGCTTCGGCATCGTGTCCACGCTCAGCGTGGCCCTCATCTCGCTGGACCGCTACTGCGCCATCGTGCGGCCGCCCCGAGAGAAGATCGGCCGCCGGCGGGCGCTGCAGCTGCTGGCGGGGGCCTGGCTGCTGGCGCTGGGCGGCTCGCTGCCCTGGGAGCTGCTCCTCCGCGCGCCCCGCGCGGCCCCCGCGCCGCAGAGCTTCCACGGCTGCCTCTACCGCGCGTCCCCGGACCCCGCGCAGCTGGGCGCGGCCTACAGCGTGGGGCTCGTGGTGGCCTGCCACCTGCTGCCCTTCCTGCTCATGTGCTTCTGCCACTACCACATCGGCAAGGCCGTGCGCCTGTCCGGGGTGCGCGTGCGGCCCGTGAGCACCTACGCGCGCGTGCTGCGCTTCTTCAGCGAGGTGCGCACCGCCACCACCGTCCTCGTCATGATCGTCTTCGCCATCGGCTGCTGGGGGCCCTACTGCTTCCTGGTGCTGCTGGCCGCCGCCCGCCAGGCCCCGGCAGCGCAGGCCCCCTCGCTCCTCCACGTGGTGGCCGTCTGGCTGACGTGGGCCAACGGGGCCATCAACCCCCTCATCTATGCCATCCGCAACCCCAACATCTCCATGCTGCTGGGGCGCAGCCGGGAAGAGGGTTACCGGACTAGGAATGCGGACGCTTCCCTGCCCAGCCGGGGCCGGGGTCAGCAAGCCAGAAAGCAGTGCGCCAACCGGCTGGGGGGCTGCAGCAGGATGGCCGCTTCCCATCCCGCCAGCGGGGTGGCCGGGGACGTGGCCTTGTGGGCTCGTAAAACACCAGTTGTGCTTTTCTGCCGGGAAGGGCCACCGCGACCGGTGACAGCATTGGCCAAACAGCCTCCTCCATCTGAAGCCAGGGACACCAGCCTCTAATCTGAGTTGGGGTGCACAGCTTATGAAGATAGCTTTTTACCTGCTTCGTTGAATGCAGGATTCTGGGGAGAAGTGTGGGGGGTTTTTTGTTTTGTTTTTTTTTTCTTAAAGCCAGACATTTAAAAAAGAGGCAGATCGGGAGGCCTACCACTTCCCCCAAACAACATACAAAACAATGTCGCCTTCAGAAGTGCCAAAAGGACTGTAACGTGCAAAAGTTAAAATAATCTGAAACCACACAACCAAGCATTGTGAATTGTAAGTGCCAAAAATGACTAAATAAAATTCACGATTACTGAAAAGCTCATATTACAGGAATCACACTGTGAAACAAAGTCACTGAATGCAATCAGTATTTGTTCAAACACCTAGTTTCAAGAAAGAACAGAGACCCTCAGAATTGCTTACCGATCCCTCTAAATCACCAGCATTCAACAAAATTTCAGATTTCTAGAACTTGCTTCTCTGACACATGCTTTGGGTGCTTAGGTTGGGAGTGGAAAATTCTTATCCTTACACCCATCCCTCTAAAATCTTTGTGGGAAATTTTAAATTCATGTCCCATGTAAAACTGTAGGATTTTTGAAAAGGTGGTTTATTACCATAAAATTCAGCCCCCTGAAGTATGAAAATAAAGAAATGTGGCTGTTTTAAAAAAAGTATTCTAAAGTTAAAATTAGAAAGTTATGTTTCTCATCCTACCCCCAAAATCATCTGCCCTGACTAGCTCTGAGGCTTTATCTACTCTTACTCTAACCTGCTACTTCTTTTTCTAATACCTTGGATGCTGCTGCTCCCAGAATGCTTTCACACTTTAAAAAAAAATAACGTTTGTAGTAGAAAGTCTTTGTCTTTTGGGGGTAAATTGATTTTTGGATGCAGCCAAAAAATGTAATTTGAAGTCAAGTTGATTGAATCAGATGAGTAATGTCATATATATATTAAAAGCTCTATAAATTAACATGATTTCACTTTCCTGTGTGGTTTTTAACTGATGATGTTTTTTAAAAGGAATTCTAAAAATATTTTAAGAAGTGGCCCCATTTCTAAAATAAACATGGAATTTTTTAAGATGAGCATACTCTCTTACATTTGGGATTTTTGGTATGTTTGTGTGTGTGTGTGTGTGTGTGTGTGTGTTTAATAGATCATTTCTTTATAGATAATGAGTTTCCTAAAATAATGTAGTCTTTATTAGAAAGGGAAACCAAGTGTGGAATTATTATATAATGTAATAGGGTCTAAATAACTTAGACATATCAGAGAGGTACTTCAATCAAGCTAAAGATATCTTTAGAAATGTGTAAAACAAAGATGCTTTTAAAAATTTCAAAAGCACAATTCAGGATTTGTGTGTATAAAATTTCATTAAATGCCATTCATTGACTCAGAATTTTATGAGATATTTTTGTGTTTTCTCCTTTCTCTATCCTGCCTCTCTTTTCTTCAGTATTTCATAGCCTTTACTGAATAAGTACTTTAAACTACACATGAAGCATCAGCTATCATATAAAAGTTTTAATGTGAAATAATCACCTTTTTTCTTATAAAATGTTTAAAGATGTTTATTGTGTTTAAGTTTTTGTGCAATAGGTGGGTGATGCCATTACTTTGTAATAAAAAATGGAAATATACAGAGTGGCCAGATTATTATAATCTTGAACACATAATAATCTGGCCACTCAGTGTATATATACAGTATATATATTAGAGGCCCAGTACATGAATTTGTGCATGGGTGGGGTCTGGCCAGTCTGGCCAGGAGGAGGGGACATGGGCGGTTGGCCGGCCTGCCTGCTGGTTGAACTCTTGCTCCAGGGGACAATTTGCATATTAGCCTTTTATTATATAGGATATATACTGAGTGGCCAGATTATTATGCATTCAGAGATCATAAAAATCTGGCCACTCAGTGTATATTCATGTCAGAGCTAATGATGTTTTAATTTTTCTTCTCCAGGCATCATTATAATCAGTTTATAAATTATCTGTATATATTTTGCTACACTCAGCGTAGCACAAAGTAGATGCGCTAATCTTTTCTCTTCAGTACTTGTTATAAAACATATACAGACTTTATGAAGCCAAACAAACATTTAACAGATATCTATACTAGTAGTACTTCCTGTTAAAGCCAAAAAAAAGTTGTGTATATTTTGGCATTGTGAGAAAATGGAAGTCATTAGAAATGACAAAAAACAAACAAACAACCCTTCTAGTTATGAAGAGTATCACAGACTGGGAATTAGGCAACTTTGAATAAAGATCAGAAAAAGAGAAATCTTGGGGGAAGGAGGTAAGCATGTTGCAAAATAGAGTATTGTCTAGGAAAGTGGTGGGCAAACTCATTAGTCAACAGAACCAAGTATCAACAGTACAACGATTGAAATTTCCTTTGAGAGCCAAAATTTTTAAACTTAAACTTCTAACACCGTTTTTTCAAAATAGACTCGCCCAGGCCATGGTATTTTGTGGAAGAGACACACTCAAGGGGCCTAAGAGCCTCATGTGGCTCGCGAGCTGCAGTTTGCCAACCACAGGTCTAGGGTAAAGCATCAAAGGAAGGTATGTCATAAACACATATAATAAACCAACATGAAATGGAATAAACCTTTCTGGTGAATGAAGGAAATATCTGAGAGATTGGAAGTGAGAAGCTGGTGGCATGAAGGATTATAAGACAGAAAAGAAATCCCCACCCTAACTTGTTAGGGCGTGGTAGGAAGTTTTAGTAAATAAGTGGGTTGGGGAAGAGTCCAGGTGTTAATGGCTCTAAGAGTTATGGTTGGCAAGAATAAGAGGGAAAAAGATCCCTAGCTAGTTTGGCTCAGTGGATAGAGGCATCAGCCTGTAGCCTGAAGAGTCTTGGGTTCCTCAAATCCCAGTAGGGGGCGTGCAGGAGGCAGCCAATCAATGATTCTCATCACTGATGTTTCTATCTCTCTCTCTCTCCTTTCCTCTCTGAAATAAATAAAAAATATATTTTGTAAAAAGAGAAACTTGTTAATAAGTTACTGGAAACCTAGAGTGCTATGTATCTGTGAGGCTATCCAACTTGTCAGTGATAGAACTAGGATTTGAAGCAGAGTCTTTCTGCGCTCAGAGCCCTATCTATGTTCCCTCTCTACCCTCTGTGGTCCTCACAAAGGTCAATGGTAAGGGAGACTAAGGATGCGGAGTTGTGGTACTATCCTCCTCCTCCTCCTCAATCTACTGTTTTTATTTCCTACTTTACATTGGGCAACGTCTGAGTACAAAGGCTAGTGAAAGACAGAAATCATAGTACCTGCCTTAAGAAGGTTTAACAGCTTAATTAAGGACCTTGTACTTTATAAATATTGTTCACAATCAGGACTCTTTACCTCTGGGGAAGAAAAGGTGAAGCATTTTTATGTGGTTAATAAAGGAGATGGATTTGGAAGCAAAAGACATGCAATGATAAAGGCCAACTACCAACCTGGTCCAGTTGTAAATATTTAGGGACAAAAACCTTATGTCTTGAATAAAAGATAGAGGAAGAATGACTCTCCAATAAATGTAAGACTTGGGCCTTTCCTCATGCTGACTGAGTGCATGATTTTAGGTAGGAAAAGGGGAAAGAAAGGTGTGAAATATTGGGAAGTGTTAAATATGGCACAATACAAAAAAAAGCCAGAATGTAATCCTTCATATCTCAGTCTGCTCCCAGCTCAGATATTTCATTTCAATGAAAATAACAGCAACAAGTCATGTTCAGCATAGTACATACATTAGCTCATTTAATCCTCAAAGCAACCCTCTGAAGGGGGGTACTAGTGTGATCATTCCACTGATTTTACAGACGAGAAAACTGAGGCACTGAGGTGCTATGTGATTTGCTGAAGTTCACACAGGAAGTAATCCTATCTAATAAAAGAGTAATACCGCAAATCACTCTGCTACATCCACAAGCCATGCCCATCATCCAACCAGGAGCGAGTAGGCAAATTAATCAAGATGGCTACGGCCACAGAGTGAGCAGGAGGCTTGGCTTCGCTGAAAGCTACAAAGTTTTAATTATAGAAGATAAATAAATCCCAGATACCAGGGAGGGCCTCTGCTTGGATCGCTGGGGGGCATGGCTGGCCTGCATACCACCACAGGCCCCTCACCCAGGCCGCCCCATGCCCCAAGGGAACCCCACCCTGATCCAGGACACCTTTCAGGGCAAACCAGCTGGACCCCACCCATGCAGCAGGTCTCTATCCTATCTAATAAAAGAGTAGTATGCAAACTGACCATCACTTCAACACACAAGGTGGTTGCCCCAATGTGGTCAAAGATGGCTGGTCCCATGTGGACACAAGATGGCCACCACAAGATGGCCAGCAGGGGAGGACAGTTGGGAGGGACTAGGCCTGAAGGGAGAGCAGTTGTGGGCGATTAAGCCTACAGGACAGGGCAGTAAGGAGTGACAAGGCGTGCAGGGGAGGGCAGTTAGGGGCAATCAGGCTAGTAGAGGAGCAGTTAGGCATCAATCAGGCTGGCAGGGGAGTGGTTAGGCAGTGATCAGGCTGGCAGGCAGAAGCAGTTAGGGGCAATCAGGAAGGCAGGCAGGCAGGCAGGCGAGCAGTTGAGAGCCAGCAGGCCTGGGTTGTGATGTCCAACTGCTCTCACCATCTCACTACTCCCTGGGTCCTGGCTGCTACTCGTGCCGCTGGACCTCCTTTATGCTGGTTACAAAGCTCAGCCACCAGCTGCTAACAGTTGTTACCATGTCCCTCCACAGAGGGGCTAGCTGGCTGGTCCTGCCAGCTAGCATCGCTCTCCCCAAGCACCGGCCTTGCTGAAGAAGGCACCTTTCCTCTTAGAGGAACATGCCCTCTGGTCAAAAGTAGAGCAATATCTCCACTGCATGGAGGCAAACCATGCATCTGCCGAATGTTGTATGTTCTCTGCACGGGCCAGTTTAAAAGTAAACAACTAACAGTCAACTTGTTCTCTCTCCAGAGAACCTAACGATGTTTAACTGGGGAAAATGTTTAATCCTGTCTTACCTCCAGCTGTGAGAGACAAATGACAGGAGGAAGCGCACTGAGCTCACCATTTCCTGTGCTCACTGAGGGCCTGCTTGTTTCTGGCCGGCCGGGGCCCTCAGGAAGTGCAGCCTTTCTAATAGCACCCCCTGTGCTCACTCTGCGGAAGAGGGAAATCCAAATAGCACTTCAGCTACAATATGAGAGCCTGCAATACTGCTAATTCCCCACAAGGAGGCTCCATTGGCAAGTACAATAAGTTTCAAAGAGGGAAAAGTATCAACCATTTTAAAAGCAGTACATCATGGTGCATTAAATTTTCATAATCTTTAACCACTTTAACATTCCTGATTACAGTTTGGTTCTTATTATCATATAAAAAGGTATCGTATTATCTTACTGCCATGCAAAGTAAGGCAAATGCATCATGTCTTAAATCCATAACTTAAATTAAGCTGAGTATACAGAACAAGAGAGAGGTTCTTTTTTTTTTTTCTTTCCCTGGGGGGTTGGGGGGGAGGCAAAGTTGATAATTATAATAAAAAATAGTCCCTCATGCTTCAGTTACTACATTTGATCCAAGAGTTGTCACATAGATTCAACTTAGGCTTTCAAAGTCAAAGAAAAATAAAGATTAACCTTTGGCTAAAATGTTTTCCCTTTTTATATATGGTAAACCATTATTACCTGTTTAGTAGCTTTGCTTAATCAATAACACATATGGCCGTGGCATTATTTTAATATATCTTTAAAATTAAAGCCATGAATACTTCTAACCAGATGATGTAATACCTTAAAATATTGGTAATAATCATTTCTAAATGGCCATACGTTTATTAAAAATATTTAAAAAGGAAATATAGCTTAAATACATAATAAATAATTTATACAATTGAGATCTTTTTCAAACTGTGATGTTAAAACTAGATATATGATGTAACACTGTATGGTGTTAAAAATTTCCTTTTGCATCCTCAATTCTCTGAAGGAAAAAACTTAGAATATGACTAGTGCCATAAGTGTTCAATTAACTTCATGTTTAAGTCATTTATTGCATGCCATATGGTGTGTGTGTAAAATATATCAGGGCAACTGAGAAGGCAAATTTCTTTACATGAAAAACATAATTAGATTTGTACTTTGTGAGTTTTAGTGCTCTGAGACTTCAGTCTTCTTTAGCGAGTGGGATTTGTGGCTGTAGCTAGTATTTACTGAGGGCCTCCATCAGGTGCTTTGCTTATATTATTTCATTTGAGCTATATCCATGGGCTAGATATTACTATGTGCATTCTGCAGACAAAGAGACTGAGACTCAAAGAAATAACTTGTTCAAGATCCCATAGCCATCCAAACAACTGGTACTGGAAGTATCGGTATTGGACTCACAAGTAGGCGTGGATGGGGAGAAGAGAGGGAAGGGATGGAGGTATGAGAGCCCGAGAGTAAGGAGGAGGCAGGATGACATGAAGGAGGAATCTTACCTGGGTGTGCACAAAGGAGAGATTTACACCCCTTAGCATGCCTACCAGTCCTCATCAGCTTCTCTGCACCAGATGTATCTCTGTTTATTCAGTGAATTTAATTTAAGCATCAATATTACATTTGAAATGTAAGAGTGAGCCGAAACCGGTTTGGCTCAATGGATAGAGCGACGGCTTGGGGACTGAAGGGACCCAGGTTCGATTCCGGTCAAGGGCATGTACCTTGGTTGCGGGCATATCCCCAGTAGGGGGTGTGCAAGAGGCAGCTGATCGATGACTCTCTCTCATCGATGTTTCTAACTCTCTATCCCTCTCTCTTCCTCTCCCTCTCTCTTCCTCTCTGTAAAAAATCAATAAAATATATTTTAAAAAAAGAAATGTAAGAGTGAAATTAGCATCCTATGATAACTTTAAATCATTACTGGGTAGCCAGGCACTAGCTTCTTAATGTCCGGTCACTCTCCCAGCAGATGAGAAAAAAACCTGGTGGCCATGTCTCAGGGCAGCCTGAGCCAAGGGGTCCAGGGCTCGCTGAGACTCCCGGAGGTCCCTGTGCACCTGGAGGAAGCTGGTGGCCTTGGGGATGCTCAGGCTGCCAGAACAACGTCACATCAGAGTCAAGAGTGGATTTTGTCTAAAGTCAACGGTTGGGATAGATGCAGAGCAAACATAATCTGAAATTAAACACACAATGTTGGTTTTAGCATGAAGTGTATAAACAGATAGCCTATCAAAAAAATAATCCTCTTGTGTACAAAAGCACTGAAGTCAGTAACACAGGCGAACTTGTCAAATAAGTTCTAAATAGATTCTAGATTGGTTCTTTGTTTTTGGTGCCAAAAAAACTAATCAACTTGCCGTTTTAAAAATTAATAATGAACAAAGGTTCACGAAGTGTTGTTTCTAAATATTTAAGCATTTACAGAATCCAGATGGGCAGTTTTATTTTAGAGCTCACATCCATATATTACTATAGAAAGACATTTATTTACTTATTTATTTATTATTTTTAATTATAGTTGACAAACAATATTATATTGGTTTCAGGTGTACACCCCAGTGATTAGACATTCTATAACTTAATAAGTAACCACCCCAAAAAAATCTCGTATCCATGTGACTTATTGACTATATTCCCTATGTCCTACTTTACATCCCCTCTACAACTTACCTTTGAATGATCAAATTGCAGATGTGATAAAGTATTTATCAACGAGTATGGTATGGATATGCTTGCTATATACCTTAACTATATTTGTTTGCTTTTTTTTTTTTTTTAAATGCATCTTGGATGAATAGTCACCCTACTTATGGGGAAACTGGTAGGTAGTTAGCATGCATGACACTTCCCCTTTGGTCCATTAAAAAAAATCAAGCTACTCCTTTGGGGAAAAGGGAGAGGTCATTCCTCCTGAACTGATTCTCCACTTTTGGTGAACTCCTCAACGTTTCTAAGATAATGTGTGGGCATCCTGGTTGTTGAAAATATGTGGGGGAAGCAATTTGAAAAGGAATGTCAGTTTGCTTATTATACATTAAAATATCAATAGTCACACCATGAGACGCATAGAGAAAGAGGTCAAAGGGTAGAGACTCCTTAGGCGCTGGCTTTCCCAGATGGGAGGACCTGGCGTGCTTTTGGACCACATTGCAAACAACCACGGGTTCTATAAGAGGCAGCCCTGCTGTTATACAACGAGGAAGGAAAGAATAGGTTTGGTTTCATGTGAACCCCTGGGCATCTTTGAGCAGGCTCCTGCCTAATTTACAGTAAAGGAACAAGGACAGCACCTGGTCCTTAGGAGGGCCCAGTGAGCAAGGCTTTGGAGGGCACAGTAATGAGTGTCAGAGTCACCTGACCAGGGAAGCCATCTAGATTAGCCCAGGGTGAGGCGGATGTGGGTGAGTAATGGGGAAGGGAGATGTGGAACATCAGCAGCATCTCTGACATCAGCTGCAGGCATGGTGATGGTACTTCCTCCGACAAATGTTTCTCCTGAGGGAAATGGACCAACCAGAATCCCATGGGAGCTGTATCCAAATGGAATGAATGGTGCTTGCTTCGGCAGCACATATACCAAATGGAATGAATGGTTTATATAAAGCAAGTAAATACAGGCGGTGCAAGGGGTGAACTGTGGTGGGTGCTGTGACATCTTGTCCGGACACCCACTTCGGGAGCAAGGCATTCATCTCCCCAGCTGGCCAAAGTGTTAGCTATTGACGGCTCATGGCTAACCCCTCCTGAAGAATTACTCTCAGATGGACGAAATTGCTTCCCCAAAGATTATGCCCAATCTGCAGGGAAGCCCATACCCAATGATTGGCTGAGGTGGAGACACAAAAATCCAGTCCTTTGACCTTAATTTGGGACTGCTCTGCAGGACCATCCCAGCCCCCAAGCTCTTAGGGATGCATGGATGCCTTTCTTACAGTTTCATCCCAGTTCGCCTTCTATTGCCCACTCTTGCTTCTCTAACTCCTCCCAAGTTTTATTCCCGAGACCACTCTACAATAAACTTCCTATGTTCAAATTTCTTTCCTGAAAAAATATGGTATAAGAGAGTTTCCTATTAACTATTTTAAATGCTTGTCGAAAAGTTTATGTTTGTGAGACATTTTATCAAAACTATGCCATAAATATGCTATGCTTGAGTTTATGTTAACTAATTTAGCAATCCTCACTTAAACAATTGTAAGTCCTTAGCAACAGATTAATATTTGGTAATTAGTTCTAAATCACTGCACAGGCATTCTAAACATGCTATTTTAAGGCTATGCTTTATTTTTAAGTAAGTAATATATGTTCAGCCAAATCAAATAAACTGTGTTAGTCCTTTTCATAACATTTGAAGTTAATAAAATAAATACCAATGATGATATGCTTTCACTTTTCCATGTATTTAATTTATCACAAATTTTAACTGAGTTTTGTCATCATAAAAAGCATTTTAAAATCTAAGGTTTATTATTTTTCAACCTCATGCTTTCAATAGTTTGGTTTCATTTGTCTACTATGATATGTTTCAGAATGTATTAAAATTATTTTGTGGACATTTCATTTCTCTAAGTAGGAGAGTCTACGGTAGACACCTTGAAAAGGTCACTTCACAGCCACACTCATGCTAACGAGGCCCGAGAGATAGTAAACAATAAAGCAAAACTGTAAAAGCTTTCAGCATCTTTGCTTTTAATAACAGCTTTATTGGCATTATCATTCACGTTATACTTCACCCTTAAATTGTAAATTCAGAGGGTTTTAGTGTGTTCAGACTTGTGCAACCATTACCACGTGTGACTTCAGAACTTTTCATCACCCTAAAAACAATCCCCACACCCACCCCTTCTACTTTGTTCTTTTTAAGGTTTTATTCTTTTCATTGCTGAATAATATTCTATTGTATGGATATATCACATTTCATTTTTTCATTTATCAGTCAATGAATGGGTTGTTTCCACTTTTTAGCCGCTGGGAGTAATACTGCTATGAACAGTTTAAGTTTTGTGTGGACATATGTTTTCATTTCTCTTGGGTATATATACCTTTGTAGAGAAATGTTAGATCATATGGTAAATTTATGTTTAATATTTTGAGGAACTGCCAAGCTTTTCCAAAGTTGGCTGCACCATTTTACATTTCCATGAGCAGTGTATGAGGGTTCCAATTTCTTTCACATTTTCACCAATACTTATTATGGATTATGGTTTTGTTTTGTTTTTAACATTAGCTACACTAATAGGTGTGAAGTGGTACCTCATGGTGATTTTGATTTGCATTTCCCTAATGACTAATAACCATCCTTTAAAAAACAGTGAAGGAAAACACGGACGTTTAACTTGGAAAATAAGGAAGATTTTGGCAGGAGGGCCTGAGAGCTGTCTTTACGTGTTAAAATAGAGGGACAGATGAACCGAGAGTTGATGTTAAATAGAGGCAGAGCTTGGCTCTATATAAATGAAATGTGCCATGAATAGGTTGAACAGGGAGGGAGTAGGTTTCTATCCCCTAGGGATGTTCAAGTAGAGGATACAGAAAAACTCTCCTCGGCTGCTCTGATGATTTGTAAACTTGTGGGGCATATCACGATTATGTTTTAAGCCATACATACGTAAGCTCGGTAATAGCACTGTTCTAGTCAAGTTATTACATGTTAATAGGTACTCTGGGAGACAGAGTCTTAACACCAGTTGGAGCCACTGGGATGCAGGGCATATTGGGATAACAGTACCAACCAGAAGCCTCTATGTTTGCCTGTAGCTGCCTCAGCCTCATCTTCATCTCCATCCTTTTCCTCACCATCGCCTTCCTCTTCTTCTGCCTCTTCCCCTCCTTCTTCCTCTTCTTCATCTCCCTCCCTGTCAGCCTCCTGCTCCCCATTTTCCTCATTACCGCTCCCATTCACAGGTGCATCGCTGCCATTCTCTGCCTCCTCCACAACTTCCTTCTTCTCCTTGAAGTGCTTGGTGGTGATCTCGGAGCAGGTGTCCACGGCCATGTCTGACATGGTGGGGCACCCGGTGATCCTATGCAGCGTTTTTTTGTTTGTTTGTTTTTGGGGTTTTTTTGTTTTGTTTTGTTTTTTAAAGCGAGAGTTGGAGGACTCTGGCGAGAAGTTGCCCGCATCCTGGCGGTGGAGGAGGCGCCTGCAGAGGTGGTTGCAGCGAGCGGAGAGGGAGCCACAGGAACAACGCAAAGATGGCTTTTCAGAGCAGCCAGTCAGTGTGTACTCTTTCTTAACTTTGTTATTTCTTTACAAAGAATAACTCTAGTTTTTAAAATGAAAATTGTATCTCTCACTAATTTTAAAAAAACGAAAACATCTCTCATCAACGGTCTGTAGCAGTTTCCTCACATGCAGGACCAGCACACCCATCACCCTTGACAGGTCAGGCAGGAGGGGCGCTCGTATGGAAGAATAAGAAGTAAAGGTGCTCATGATTTGGTTGTAGTGCCTCAGATACAAATATAATATACTTGTAACATTTAACAATGATGGCGAACCCATGCAAAGATGCTTGCATACAGTCTGGTTCTGTGATTCTGTAGTTCAGTCATTAGAAAATAAACCATTCCCACCTGGCCTGTGCGGCTCAGGGGTTGAGTGTCGAGCCACAAACCATTAGGTGAGGGTTCAATTCCAGGTCAGGACACATGCCCAAGTGGAGGGTGTGCAGTAGGCAGCTGACTGATGATTCTCATCATTGATGGCGCTCGAGCTCCTCTCTCTCTCTCTCTCTCTCTCTCTCTCTCTCCCTGTCTCTTCCACTCTCTGAAATAAATAAAAACATAATTAAAAAAAAATAAAAATGAAAACATTCCCAGGAAGTACAATCATGCTGTGATATTAAATTCCTTGGGGGAAATGTACCTCTAGAGGCACTAGTATTTTAGAACTCTCTTCCCATACTCAGGCCCTCTTGTTTTTTTCATTAGGAGAGATGGTCACATTAAAAAAACAAAAAACAAACAAACAAACAAAAAACAAAAAAACCCCAACAACACATGCTATCCCTACGACACTTGTCCTAGTAATTCCCACAGCCCAGTGGCAGGAGTGGCAGAGCCAGCGCTCCTGGAGGGGAGACCCAAGAGGGCATGGCACAGCCAAGCTGATGCTAACGTGCTAGTCACTCCCGGGGCCTCGGCGAGGCCGTCTGAGGTGACGCCTGTGGCCGGATGTGCGAGGACCAGAGGACGGAGGCCACTGCATCTCCGCTCCCAGGGAGCAGCGTGACCTCCCCACCCGCCGCGCAGGCCAGCAGGGGCTCTCAGCTGCCGGCCGCGTGCGCACAAATGGCTCTCCCGAGGACGCCAATGACAGTGGACCATTTTTCTCCCATGCTATCATCCGTCCTGATTCCTCTGCTGGGAAATCTGCGAAGAGCCAAGGATGGGTCTGGCGAGAAGAAAATAAAAACAAGATCTATTGTATCTGTGTGTCTTCCTTCTGCACATGCTCCGTCCCGGAACCCTGCGGTTCCCGGGCTGAATGTGAGGGTCAGAAGGCTCCCCGGAGAAGCTGTATGCTATTGGCCTGTGAGTGTTTTCCTTTCTTCTCCGTGTGTGGCAGAATGGATGCGCAGGGGGCCATCTCTTTCCGAATAATATGGTTTTATGATCCTACTGGACCTCAGGTCGAAAGCACAAGTAAATGTTTGGAGGGAGAGTTTGCATCTAGATAGGGTAGAGGCCTGCCGGCTTGCTGGGCCCCGGGGAAGAGCCTGTGCTACCTCAGTTCCTGCTTCATGGGCTGCCTCTTCCCAGGCCCGGTCAGGATCCCAGCAAACCTGGAAGGCAGGATCAGGGTGCCGGCCAACTGCATCTTTCCCATAAGAAGTTAGTGGAATGCCCACCAAACTCACTTTTTAAAAAAATATTATTTATTTATTTATTTATTTATTTATTTATTTATTTATTTTACAGAGAGGAAGGGAGGAAGGTAGAAGGATAGAGAGAAACATCGATGAGAGAGAAACATCAATCAGCTGCCTCCTGGGGATGTGCCCGCAACCAAGGTACATGCCCTTGACCGGGATCGAACCCAGGACCTTTCGGTCCACAGGCCGACGCTCTATTCACCCAGCCAAACCAGCTAGGGCCCACCAAACGCACTTTAACTCAGGCCAGAGGATGCAGGGCTGGAGGAACATTCACTCTTTTCCCTCGAGGAAGTAGAAGGCCCTTGTGCCGAAGAAAATGTGAGACTTGAGCCCAACCCCAAATAATTATGGGCTCAAGGCAACTATAGTATCCGCCTGGTCCTGGCCTTTCCAGAATAAATGCGGTTGTGTTTCCGCAGAAGAATGTTTTCTAATGTGGGATACTCTCAATCCGTGTCCTGGTTTCAGAATCACAGTGTACCAACAGCCAGAAAAGTGAGAGCCTTCGAGAAGAATGATTAAACACTGGCACTGGGCTTTTATAAATCTCTCATTTAATCTTCACACACCTCTTAGAAGATACTATTATAAGCTCCCTGTGGGAGTGGAGGGGTTGTAAGGTGAAATAACTTCCTCGAAGTCACACAGTCAGCAAGGAGAAGCCCTGGGGCTTGCACACAACCCAGGAGCTCTCATGCCTAACCACTGAGCAGTCCAACCAAGAAGACCCACCACCAAGGATGATGGGGAGAGACACTCACAGGCTGGGGACCGAGACAGACAGAATCCTCCAACGAGTCAGAACTTGTGCTCAGTCCTGAAGGTGAGAAAGAGGTTAGAAAGGAGAAGGGTTGGAAATGAGAAGTGGGAAGATTTGCTCAGAAAGGGATATGGGACGGACAGATATGCAGAGGCAAGAGGAATGGAGCAAACGTGAGGAAAGCTGAGTGGTGCCCTATGTGAGGATCATTGCATTTTGGTTGAACTGAACAAGGGGATCCAAGCAGAAGCAGATGTAAGAATTAAGGATTTCGCCTGGCTGGCGTGGCTCAGTGGTTGAGGGTTGACCTATGAATCTGGAAGTCATGGTTTGATTCCCAGTTAGGGCTCATGCCCGGGTTTGGGCTTAATCCCCAGTGTGGGGGAGTGCAGGAGGCAGCCAATCAATGATTCTCTCTCATCATCAATGTTTCTGTCTCTTTCTCTCTCTCCCTTCTGCTCTGAAATCAATTAAAAAATTTTTTTAAATTAAGGCTTTTGCTTAGTCAGGCCAAAGAGAGTTTAATTTTGAAGGTTAAGGAAAGCCACTAAAGGATTTTGAGCAGAGGTGAGGGTGACAAGATTTGCATTTCAGAAAGATCGTGATCTGTATAGAAACCAGAGTGATAAGATTTGCATTTCAAAAAAATCACTATTTACACAGGGATCCCTGGCAGGAAATCAGGGCTCAGGTGTGGCAGTAGGCACAGGTGAGACAGTGAGGCTGCTGAGGAGACAATGCCTTTCCAGTAAGAAATGACAAGGTGTATGTATTGTAGCCTCAGAGAGAGGCAGTGGGGAGGGAGAGGAGGGAATTGACTTGAAGTAAAAGAACTCTGAAAGGGTTGAATGAGGAGAATAGGGGATAGGGAGTGTCAATGATGAGATAACACTTAGGTGTTTCATCCATACACGATAATAGTATTCATTTTATTTGAAGAAGTCAGAGTTAAAGAAGGGGACAGGGTTGGGAAGGACAAAGAAAAGGATAATGAGAGCAATTTATTTTTGTTTCTGTTAATCCTCACCCCAGGATATTTTTCCATTAATTTTTAGGGAGAGTGGAAGGGAGGGGAAGAGACAGAGACAGAAACACTGAGGTGAGAGAGACACATTGATTGGTTGCCTCCTGCACATGCCCGAACCACGCCCAGGACCCAGCCTGCAACTGAGGTCCATGTCCTTAACTGGAATCAAACCAGGACTCTTCAATCTGTAGGCCCACACTCTAGCCACTGAGCCAGGCTGGCTAAGGCTAATGCGAACAATTTAAAACACACTGAATTTGATGTAACTATGGGGATAATGAATGTAACCAAGTAAATACTGGCTAAATGAATCCGGGGGTCAACAGAGAGGCTTAAGCTGGGAAGATGGGCTTGTCAATCCTCCGGAGGAATGTAGGTTGTGGGGTTGGGCCAATTTTTATCTCTCGATCCAAATTCACTCTCTAATACTTTCAGATGCTGGAGCTGGGACTCCTAAAGCCACGTCTCAGGCTCTGCCAGTAGAGCAGTGGTTCTCAACCTTTCTAATGCCTTGACCCTTTAATGGCGACCCTGCTGGCGGTTCTCAACCTGTGGGTCGAGACACAAGAGGCATCGCATTAATGGCATTCCCACCAAACTCACTTCAAACCCACAGGTTGAGAACCACTGCTGTGGAGCCTAAGACCATCGGAAAACACAGATATTTACATTATGATTCATTAACAGTAGCAAAATTATAGTTATGAAGTAGCAATGAAAAGAATTTTATGGTTGGGGTCACCACAACATGAGGAACTGTATTAAAGGGGCGGGCATTAGGAAGGTTGAGAACCACTGCAGTAGAGGGAGGCTGCAGGGCTGGAGGAGAGAAGGCTCGAGTCTCCACCAGCCTCGCTTCCTCACCCAGCAGCTGCAGATGATTCCAGTAGCCGCTGTGGGGAGTGTGCATTTTCCTAACACCTGCAGAACCAGCTTCCTCTTATCCCACGTAGAGACCCTGCAGTGCCAGTTACCCCGCCTCCCCGAGGTCTGGGCCCCACGCTAGGCAACCCTCCTCTAAGTTCTAGTCTCAGTAACTCCAGCCTCTTCCTTTGTTCCTTCAGCCCCTTGAGGTGGTGTTGCTTCCGGTGGGTGCCACCTCCGCCAAATCTCGAGTTCCCTTTTCACCCGCTCAGTTACCTAGCTAATAACTTTCTGCCTAGTTAACAATTCTTTACATTAATTTCTTTCTTTTAAGATGACTGGCATGCCTCTGTCTCCTGACCGCACCCTGGCTGGTGCAGGGTGAGTACAGCACCCAAGGCAAGCACAGAGCGCCGTGGAAGAAGAGAGCTTTGAAAGGAACCCAGGGTCCCCTGTATTTAAGGACTGTCAGTCCAAGGAGTGGGCCAGGGAGGTACTGGGGAATCCAAACAGTCAACTGAGAAAGAAAGAGAAAACAGACCAGAGCGAGAGTTATGAATGAAGCAAGGCTCCTGAAGAGATGATGGAGTAAGCTTCATCCCGGAAAGGAAAGGAATGAAGGTGAGCTAGGAGTACGTAAGCTTTCCAGAGGGACAGTTATCCACTGGGGGGGGAAGTGAGGCAG